CTGAGCAAAGAGTCTCGGAGGTACCAGGGACGTTCTGATCTGGGAGGAGGTCTTCGGAGTGTTGGGTTGTATGTGTGTGTGTGTATGTGTGTTTTCCTTTTGTGGTTTTGTTTTGTGGTTCCGTCAGCTGAGCCTTCTCCTGCCAGCTCAACAATGCTCCATTTACTGTTTCTAGATCTGTTGTCTTTGATCCCTGTATCATCGTTTTTGTGTATCAGTTGACTCTGACACAAGTTTCCTGCTATTGTCACAGGGAAAGAGGATCAGTCAAACAGCTGGTGGAGCTCTTGCATCTGACGTCAGATTTCAAGCTGTCTCACAAATGTCTAAATTCCTTCTTTGAATCTGACTTCAGTGACACATTATTTTATCAATCCTGCTTTGTTCAGTCAAGTCAGATAATGTGTGCTGAGTTGCACAAGGGATGGGAAACTTGGGTGGTATGATGCTAGATGAAGTAGAAAGACAAGCAGACAAGTTTCTGATGGGATTTTTTTCTGTTAGCTTTCGGGAAAATGGAAAATCGTGTACTTTGCATTCAGGAACCCAGGGAAGGAGCCATGCACGCTTTACTTATGTAATCTTGTGTTTGCTGGCGAAGAGACAGTAGAGGTTGATATCTATGATGAGTAAGTAAAACTCACCCCGAAGGAAAATCTATAAACCCCGAGGGAGGGTGTGTATCCCCCTTCAGCAGGGAGCTCTCTGGGTGATGTTGAGAGCAAAGCGCCCTGAGCTGTGGGGCTGAGCAGGGTCTCTGAGCTGGGGGCCGGGGTGTGGAGGGCAGTTCCCTTGAGAGCCCCCAGGGAACGTCCTGGCACCTTTGCTTAGAGGTCGGCTCTCAGAAGCTCCACGGGCATCAACTCATTAAAGTAAAGAGGCACACGGCAGCGGGGAGAGGCTCATGTCCTGGAACCCCAGAGTCCCCATCTGGGGCATGAACCTTTTCTGCGGAATTTGTTAAGAGACAGTTCCCACTGTCCCCACGTTGTATGTACCAAATACACCTTTTCTCACACCTGACATATCTAAATGCTGTCAAATTCTTCTGTTATGCAGCTGAGAACTTATACATTTCAGATATTATTTACATGTAATTTCCTTATCATGTACATGCACATGTGTGCCTGCAAGTATGTCAGATATTATTTACATATAATTTCCTTATCATGTACATGCATATGTGTGCCTGCAAGTATGTCTGTATTTATTGATATGCGTGCACACGTACATGTGGCTTTCAGCGTTTGATCCTCTTATGGTGCTGGGATGGCAAGAGTGTGTGCTCTGACAAAGTGGAACATGTCTTTCTCGAATTTGTAATGATGCTTCCCAATCATAGTTCTTAACCAATATCATAGTCTCCAGTCAATATCATCAGGCAGTGTGAGAGTCTCTAATCGTTATCATAGTCTCTAGCGTATGTGAAGGCTGTACGTTGTCACCCTGCTTATTTAACTTATATGCAGGGTACATCATGAGAAACGCTGGCCTGGAAGAAGCACAAGCTGGAATCAAGATTGCCGGGAGAAATGTCAATAACCTCAGATATGCAGGTGACACCACCCTTATGGCAGAGAGTGAAGAGGAACTAAAGAGCCTCTTGATGAAGGTGAAAGAGGAGAGTGGAAAAGTTGGCTTAAAGCTCAACATTCAGAAAACTAAGATCATGGCATCCGGTCCCATCACTTCATGGCAAATAGATGGAGAAACAATGGAAAGAGTTGCAGACTTGATTTTTTGGGGGCTCCAAAATCACTGCAGATGGTGACTGCAGCCATGAAATTAAAAGACGCTTACTCCTTGGCAGGCAGGTTAGGACCAAGCTAGACAGCATGTTAAAAAGTAGAGACACTACTTTGCCATCAAAGGTCCAGCTGGTCAAGGCTATGGTTTTTCCTGTGGTCATATATGGATGTGAGAGTTGGACTGTGAGGAAAGCTGAGTGCCCCAAAACTAATGCTTTTGAACTGTGGTGTTGGAAAAGACTCTTGAGAGTCCCTCAGGCTGCAAGGAGATCCAACCAGTCCATCCTAAAGGAGATCAGTCCTGGGTGTTCATTGGAAGGACTGATGTTGAAGCTGAAACTCCAATCCTTTGGCCACCTCATGTGAAGAGTTGACTCATTGGAAAAGACCCTGATGCTGGGAGGGGCTGGGGGCAGGAGGAGAAGGGGACGACAGAGGATGAGATGGCTGGATGGCATCACCAACTCGATGGGCATGAGTTTGTGTAAGCTCCGGGAGTTGGTGATGGACAGGGAGGCCTGTCGTGCTGTGATTCATGGGGTCACAAAGTTGGACACGACTGAGCCACTGAACTGACTGACTGAATAACTGACTGAGTCAGTATCATCCTCTCTAGTCAGTATCATCCTCTCTAGTCAGTATCATCGTCTCTGGTCTGTATCATAGTCTCTAACCAGTATCACAGTCTCTAGTCAGAACCGTAGGCTGTAACCAGTATCATAGCCTCTGGTCAGTATCACTGTCTCTAACCAGCATCCTCATCTCTCATCCGTATCATAGTCTCTGATCAGACATGGCAGGGTTGTGGGAACCCTGAAGGTCTGGCAACATGGGTGCAACTCTGTTTCCAGGAAGTGCTTTTTTAAAGGTGTATTATTTATATTTTTTCCTAGATTCTAGATTTCTCCGAGTTTATTTGGCTTTCAGTATAACTGACTTAGTATTGCCAGTTTATCTTTGGGACTGCGTTCAGATTTAATGTGTAGGCAAGGCATCCTTCTGACACGATAGTGATTTCAACTCAGAGAACATATTCTCTTTTGAACATCACATCGTTCACAGGCACTGAAGTGACACCTCACACTTTATCATCGGGGTGAAACAAAGAAAGTCCTATTTATAAGTCAAATATTTTCAATATTTTAATCACCCACCTTGAATATCTTTTGTTTTTAAGGTCGGATCCAGAAAGGGGAAAAACACATGTCATAGGAACAAGGCAAGATGATGGCACTTATGTTTTTGAGTGTAAGTATGAGTGTTTCACTGACCAGAGTATGCTTGCGTGGAAATCTTGGCACAACTTCCTTCAGTAACCCCACACATCTGAATTCTACTCCTACGAAAAATCAGAGGGGTGAGCAGGCTGTCATCCCTAAGATTTCCGAGCTCTTTACTTTGTCACAAGAAAAGGGTTCAAACACAAAGCTTGGAGGTCTCCTCACAGTTGTGAGTGTGACTCAATTAGACAGAGAAGCTTGGTGGGCTCCAGTCCACGGGGCTACAAAGAGTCAGACATGACTGAGCGAGTAAGCGTGCACACCCTTAATGAGAATAACATATGTAGATGAATATTTCATACAGTTCTCACCAGTAATTTACAACAGTCTTACAAACCAACATCTCAAGGGTGTATCATGACTTTGCACATCAGTGCATTCACTGTTGAAAAGCAATCTTAAAATATCTTGTTTCATAGAAGGTGTGGTGGATTAAATTAAATGCCAAGAAATCATTCTAAGTTCAACAGTCAAAGCAGCTTCTGTTCAAAGCCGTGGGCATGCTGCCTAAGATTTACTCTCTAAATTCTTTAAAATGGCTCTAAACAACTTTCTTAATTTCACATGGCCTAAGGGGTGTATATGTAACTACTCTTTAAGTGTATCAGGTCAACTCTGTGATAAAGTGGAAATACCGTATCTTGCCTGCTTTCCTTGCTCAAAACAACTGTATCATTCACGTTACCCGTGCAGGGAGATACAGATCCCATGTACCCTTGCTGACACCCTCATTTTCCAAAATAAAAATCTCTGACAATACATAATGGCAGAGTGGTACATATGTATCTTTTCTCTCAACAGATGATGGTAGAACAATAGTATTTAAAGTTGCTTACTGTCCGACACTGTTCTGGTACTATGTATTATCAGCGTGGATGATGAAAATTGTGTGGAGTCACCGTGTGGTGTAATATTGGCTGGTATGTATGAAACTCTCATGTAAACATCAACATTGTGATGAAATGTTTCTATTGTCAGTACTTTATGCGTGAAAGAGGGGTGTGGTGACAATATCCATTCTGCAGTCTATAGGACCTAGGTCTTTGTGTTCAGCGAGTGAAGAACCCTGGAACGAATTCTACCAAGAAAGAGGAGTTAGTAGGGGTGGGGAGGTCAGATCCTCAAACATTTCTAAATAATTCCTAGATGTTGACATCAAAAATAAATAAAAATTAAAAATTATAATTTTACTAGAAATACTTTTTTCTTATTTTTTTTAGTTTTCATTGGAGGAAAATTAGAATACTGTGTTGGTTTCTTTTTTTTTTTTTTCTTTTTGTAAACTGTCAGTTCATTTCAAGCCTTAGTTATAAGGAAACTACTCTTGATTTCACCATCTTATAGCAGCATCCCAATGCACCCTAAGCTTTGGAGCAGAAACTTATAAAAAAAACCTCTTTATTCTCTTCAAACTTTCAAATGTATTGTTCCTAGAAACAATGAAAGCTGCCCAAATACTCACACAGATCACTGAGAGGTTTGACTACCATTGGAGCAACATGTATCTGTTGCAAGAAAGCTACTAGTTTGAACGGTGGGTTAATTAAAGGATAGATCATCTCCCATTATGATGTCTGCAATGGCGAGAGTGTATCTGTCAGGGGAGAATTCTGTTTCCTATGTATTTGGGTCAGAGCAAGACCTGCGTGGCAGGTACAGATTCTAGGAAGTTGGTCAAGGAGCGGGTCGGTTCCATACAGTGATGGGACGATCCCCAAATTCACGGAGCTCCTCTGAGTCTTTGGGGTTCTCCTTCTGATGCTGGAGGGGGGAGGGTCTAATTTGAGAGCTGGATGGGTTTAATTCTTAAGACAGAAGGCAGATGTCTGAGTCATGGGGAATGGTAATTGTTTGAGGGTTAATTTATACCAAGTGAAGATCTGACTTGGACACTGAACTTTTTGTTCTATGTTCAGAAATTTCTCTGGGTTGTAATGAGCTAAATTCTGCATTCCGTGTGTTTTTTTTCCAGTGAAAATAAGTGTAAGCCAGGAAGTCATGGACATATTCAATGAGCTAGTAAGTGAGAAAGGTATTCCAGAAGAAAATGTTGTGGATTTCATTGAAAGCGGTGAGTATGCTTTCCTTAAATGTATCTTGCACCCGATACAGAAACATACTACCAGAAAAAAAATCAATTTATTTAAATTTTGTTCTACATAAATAATCTTTTGTATAATCTCTTACTTAAAACAAAAAGCTTTGGAATTCCTGGGGAATGGTAGTAATTGGTGCATCTTTTCTTCCTGTTTTTCTCCCAGAGGACTGTCCTCCCTGTGGATTTCTAGAGACCGCAGCAGCTTCAGTGTAAGTGAAAAGTGTCTGTTATTATTGTTATTTCTTTAAATAAACCTATAAGGACACATGGTGATTTCATCACTGCCAAATTTTGTGTGTAGCAGTTTTTTTGGCCCACCATCGTACATTCTATCACTAGAGAAGTTTTTCTGGTTTAGTAGGTAATCTCTCTTTTCTTGAGCCATATTAAGTTGCAAACTAGTTGGTTTATTAGCGCTGAGCGGCTTTGCTGAGAAAGCCTTATCCCGCAGGAAGCTTGTAGACCAGAATCATTGAGAGACGCAGGAAAGGCCACAAATTGGCGGACACTAATTAGTGCTCCCGTCATCCTGACCTCAGTGCCATCCACACACGTCCCCCCTCTAGGAGAGCCAGGACTAAAGGGAGCTCAGGTTTCCTGCAAGATCAGTGTTTAATCTCACATGATTCTGCCAGAACCTAAAGGCCTTGCAAGTCCACTGTCAGAATCATGCATTTGAATTATATTCCCGTTTAGAAGGTGATTTTCTTAATGTGAGATCTTTAAACTTTCTAAACTAGGACAGCCTCAGAAAACGACACAGGTCTAGGCTAAAGTGTGGCTTCTGAATTTTTGCTGAAGAAAAAAATGAAAGTAAAAAGGAAAGAAAATCACTAGCTTCCAGGTGAATACAATAAGAAAGTTGTGGTGTACCTTTTTCAATGAAATATAACTCAGCCATATAAAGGAGGAAATCATGGTTGTAGCAACATGGAAGGACCTAAAGATTGTCATGCTAAGTAAGAGAGTCAAAAGAGAAAGATATCACATGTTACTACTTCTATGTGGAGTGTAAATATATGGCACGAAGGAAGTTATTACAAAACAGAAAGAGATGCAGAGACATAGAGAATGGGCTTGTGGTTGCCAAGGGGAGGGGTTTGGATAAGAGAAGGGAGGGGAGTTTGGGGTTAGCAGACACAGCAATTACACACAGGATGGATGGACAAGGTCCAAGTGTATAGCAGAGGGATCTATACCCAACACACTCTCAAAACCATTATAGGAAAGGAATCTGAAAAAGACTAGATCTTAAGATATGTTTGTCTAAACCACTCATGTCGCTGTTCCCCTGACTCTAACACAAGATCGCTAGCCAAATAGACTTCAATATAAAGTAAAAATCCAAGCATTGATTGTTGAAAACCCAGAAGACAGAACTTGTGGAATTAGAGGTGTGTGCTCCAATCTCAGAGGCTGAGCATGCATTCTGAAATCATTACTCCTAGAATCGATCCCCAGTGGGAAAGGTCGCCTCATATGGACATCCTGGGGAAAATTCCACATGGACTCCAGCATCACTGAGATGTGGAGTGTTGAGGTCCACCAGGATTCTTACATGGGATCAGCCACCAGCTCCTGTAGCCTGTACAGCCGACCGCCTGAGCTTCACCCCCGTCAGCCGTCACAGACTCGACTCTAGTAAACCTTTGCCTCTGTTTTGTTCACCTACAGAAAGTGTCCCTGAGAGCAGACACATCCCCGTCTCCATGGAGTCAAGATCCGCAACACGAAGACGACTTTCCTGGCTCCTGAGTAACACGATCCTTCTCTCCTCACACTCACACTCCCGCTCCCATCTCATCTCTCCTGGTCACTAATCACGTCCTGCTTGGCGGTGTGTGATTTCTGAGGGTTTAAATAAACTGGTTAAATATACAGCTGAGCCGCCTGTGTGTGGACCAAACAGTCCCCATTTTACAACACACAAAAATGCGCACTAAATTTAGTTATAGGGAAACATATGCCTATAATAGGACAGGAGTTCCATCAGAGACAGCTCTGAGAAGAAGTAAAAAGAGATACTCTAGAGGTGTCCATGGGAGAAGGAGATAAAGGCCTAAGCCATCCTGGGACAGGGGGCAGGGTGGCGGATCCCCTTACTGTCATGGGAGGGGCCAATCTGGTCAAGAAAGATGTCCCTAGAAAGCATCTCATGCATCACAGGGAAAGCAGCTTGTGTTTCACCCACTGACCTATAGAACGTGTAACACGCCACGGGCCACAGCATATTCTGACAGTGCCTGTTCTGACAACATCTGGACTTCTGCAATTGAAATGAAGGCCTGGCTTTACTTCAGGACTGGGTCACTAGCAATCAGAGGTGGCCAGGGTCTGAGCCGTGGTGGATTCATAGTAACAGGAAGTCAGGGCAGTGCTGGCAGGAACGAGATGATTGACAGCTAGACAGGAAGTGGTAACTGTTCACAACATCTAAAGATGGCTTTCCAGCCTCTTATGCTTCAGAGAGCAGTGGATGGTAGTGCTTCCAAGGCGGGGCCATTCCCACTGTCATGGGGAGAAAACACAGGTCAGCTACCCAGGGTGCTCAAGGTGTTTACAGTCTGAAACATCAACCATCTTCAAGATACAGAATGTTCCAAGGGTTGGAGCAAAGCTCACGGATTTGGTCCCAGAGCTGGAAAAGGAATGCCAGACCTAAGAGATATTTAACAGAATATGTGTTTTAGTCCATACATAGGCATGACCTCCAAATGGGCTCCAGCTGGCCAGTGTCAAAGCACCAGCAATGAATATTTCCATTCCTTAGTTGGTAGTATCAGAGGTCAAGGGCTAATTTTAAAATCTCCCACCTGTATAGCAGAGTGTATGGTGTTGGACTTTGGACTCTAGTCTTCACAGGTGGTCTGGAAATGCTGCATGGTATGAGTGGATACACACTTATGAAAAGGAATATAGAATAGGTGGGGTGAGCCTCTTAAGAAATGTTGAAAATTGAGCCCTGGCATAAATATGTCAAAAATTCTGAAACATCATATACACATATATTGATTTATGTGTATATATATATGTACATGCTGCTGCTGCCGCTAAGTCGCTTCAGTCGCGTCCGACTGTGTGCGACCCCAGAGACAGCAGCCCACCAGGCTCCCCTGTCCCTGGGATTCTCCAGGCAAGAACACTGGAGTGGGCTGCCATTTCCTACTCCAACTCATGAAAGTGAAAAGTGAACGTGAAGTCGCTCAGTCGTTTCCGACTCTTTGTGACCCCGTGGACTGCAGCCCACCAGGCTCCTCCGTCCATGGGAGTTTCCAGGCAAGAGTACCGGAGTGGACTGCCTTTGCCTTCTCCGCTATATATACATGTACAGATATAAATGTGTGACTGTATGTATCTGTGATATCATATTAATATGGAAAAATGAGTCATCACCTCATATCCAACAGAAGATGATCAAGAGGAAACTATAAACAGATTTATGTTACGGGAAGTAATACACCTGACGAATTGTACACATTATTGAAAGATTTGTTACTAAATGTGATATAGACAATATAAACTTTTACCACCCTTTAATCTACTAAAGAAATTGAGCAGAATACCTGAAAAATTTGCAGGGCAAGAAGATTTAATTGAAATGTTTAAGAGGAAAAGAAGAAATTTACTAAATTTACAAAAAGCCACCCATAGACACATGATAGTATGAGTTCATATTAAAGTATTTTCCATTGTAACTTGATCCTGAATTCTCTAGACAGAATTAGGTACTTCTGGCAGATTTCATAAAATCCTATACACACAGAGAAATCATTAATTTCAAAAGGACATGCGGCCCAGGATACAGAGCTCTATGTATAACAGCCAGGACATGGAAGTAACATGCATGTGCACCCGAAGAGGAATGGATAAAGGTATCCTTGTTGTCGCTGTTGTTTGGTCCTAAGTCGTGTCCAGCTCTTTGCCACCCCGTGGACTGTAGCCCCCCAGGCTTTTCTGTTGATAGCATCTCCCAGGCAAGGATCCTGGACATACACAACGGAACACTTCTCAGCCACGGGCAGAGCTGTGGATGGACCTACAGAGAGTCATAGCGTGTGAGCTAACTCAGAAAGTGAAACGCAAATACTGTGTATTAACTCCTATGTGTGTGCAATCTGTGAATAGAAAAGGGGTGCTGATGAACCTAGTTCCAGGACAGAAGGACAGACACAGATAGAGTGCACAGACATATGGGACCCCAAGGGGGAAATGAGATGTGGAATGATGGGGGAGACTGGGACTCACATATGCGTACGCTACTGAGAGTCTGTCTAAAGTAGATCCCTAATGAGAACCAACTGCATAGCATGCTGAATACCACTCATTGCTCTGTAGTGATCTGAATGGGGAGGAATTCCAGAAAAGAGGAGATATACGTGCATGTCTAGTTGACTTGCCTTCCTGGATGGCAGAACTAACACAACAGCATAAAACAGCCAGACTCCAACAGAAATTTTACAATTCTGCACACATATGCATGCTGAGCTGTTAACAGACCAACATACTAACATATTGAAGAGCAGTCTTTGTTTTTTTTTTTTTTAGGTTTTTTAAACTCAAAATGGATTAAAGATCTAAATGTAAGACCAGAAACTATAAAACTCCTAGAGGAGAACATAGGCAAAACACTCTCCGACATAAATCACAGCAGGATCCTCTATGACCCGCCTCCCAGAATATTGGAAATAAAAGCAAAAATAAACAAATGGGACCTAATGAAACTTAAAAGCTTTTGCACAACAAAGGAAACTATAAGCAAGGTGAAAAGACAGCCCTCAGGTTGGGAGAAAATAAAACCAAATGAAGCAACAGACAAAGGATTAATCTTAAAAACATACAAGCAACTCGTGCAGCTGAATTCCAGAAAAATAAATGACCCAATCAAAAAATGGGCCAAAGAACTAAACAGACATTTCTCCAAAGAAGACATACAGATGGCTAACAAACACATGAAAAGATGCTCAACATCACTC